TTGTGAGATATAAACTCAGAATTGTGAGTTTAGCAACCCTCTACATTGCGAGTAAATCACCCGCATATGCGTCTAAATCTTCACTCTGGCGACTAAATGATGTCTAATATTAGCCAATGGCTAATAAATTCTTAGATTTTACTCGCCAATGTGTGAGTTGGAGGCTAAGTATAAGTTTAGCTCAGATATATTTTCACTCGCCGAACACTCTCTGACTGAGCGCATCAGAGTTTCACTCTCTGCCAAGCGATCTGTGCTGTTTTTCAGTTCATCTGAATGGATGTGCAACGCACCTGTATTTAATGTACCGTAAACTCTAGTGTGAAGGCGCACGACTCGCCGTCGCTTTGTTTTACACAAACGCAGCGAGAGAGGGAGAGAGAATTGACGCGCTTACCTATGCACGCTACATGTAAACGATATTATTTGTTGTATTTTGCTGTCAAAATAACGGAGTTCCTTTGGAATTCTTCAGCTTTTAAGAACTACCGCTTTCTCCGGTAGTGGGCGGAACTAATGCGCAAACGGCAATCTCATTGGCTGGCGCTCACCTATTATCGTCCCTGTTTTGATTTCAGCAAATCAGTTCCTCATTTGTAAGTTGCTTTGGATAAAAGCGTCTGCTAAATGACTAAATAAAAAAAATTAATGTCATTTTAAAAAAAAAAATATATATATATATATATATATATATATCAGTCTGGCGAGTAAACTAAAAAATGTACTAGCCAATGGCGATTCAATTGCCAAGGTGTTCGTAGAGGGCTGGATTTTAAGATTGCGTGTCAGTGGTAATTGAAATTGGGCAGTAAAACAGCTGTGTGTGTCCTCTTTGCAGGGAATGGACCCAGTAGTGCGTCAGGTGGGGCAGCACATAGAGATGGAGCCTGAATGGGAGGCAGCGTTCACCTTACAGATGAAGCTCACTCATATCATCTCTATGATGCAGGAATGGTGTGCCAGTGATGTAAGTGCATGTTAGACACACATTCACTTTAGTATCCATAATGCACCATGGGGCCTTGATACAAGTCTATTATTTGTCACATGCACAGGAGCGAGTGCTGATCGAAGCCTATAAGAAGTGCCTGAGTGCGCTGACTCACTGCCACAGTGGTTTCACCGATGGGGAGCAGCCCATAACCCTCTGCATGTGCGGCCACTCCGTTGACACCATCCGCTACTGCGTCTCTCAGGAGAAAGTCAGCATACACCTGCCTGTGTCCCGGCTTTTAGCAGGTCAGTCGAACATGGTTTCACACAGTCCGTTTTGCAGTAAGGCCATATACATGCTGCGAAGTTTTGAGAATAAATCCGGAGAGTTCTTTGAGTTATCGAATGTGTATGAAATATAGGAGTCACTCTTGAAATTGCAGTGGTTGATGGTAGTGGTCGACCGATATATCGGTCAACCACTAGTTGATGGTGGTAACCACCCCACATATCAACTGAACCTCGACTCTCTCTCTACCTGTTAGGTTTACATGCTCTGCTGAGCAAAACTGAGGTTGCCTATCGATTCCCTGAGCAGCTGCCGCTGGTAAGTTTGTTGGTTTTGGTTCATGAGAATTGTTGCAAAAACAATCTTGGCAATTTCTGAGGCCTCTTTTGTCTTCCACAGAGTGAACTGAGTCCACCCATGTTGATCGAGCACCCGCTCCGTTGCCTTATACTCTGTGCCCAGGTGCATGCTGGGATGTGGAGAAGAAATGGCTTCTCTTTGGTCAATCAGGCAAGCTTATAAATGTGTTTCGTTCTAATACTCAAGATCTTTAAGAGCGTGATTGTTAGTGTTAATGCCTTTTCATAAAAAATTGGTGCTTTTTCTTGAATTGTTTTTGCAGATCTATTATTATCACAATGTGAAGTGTAGAGTGGAGATGTTCGATAAAGACCTCATCATGCTTCAGGTCAGTAGTGTGAAGATATTTAATTCCAAAATTATTATCCAAAAAGTATTTAATTCCAAAGATTAAAACCATATATATATATTTTTTTTTTAGGATTTTACATGAAGGAATCAGTTACAAAAAAGGGGGATTACATTCATTTTAAATCATGAAAATATTTGTGCTTCAATGTAATGTGCTATAAATTTCACAATACAAAAAGTCCTAAAATTGGCCTAAAATATATTTTTAAAAAGGTCCTAAAGTTTTAATCAATTCATCACCATTTTCTGTACCAGTATTCTCGTTACCATTATGTGGAAAATAATCCACAGTGATGGGAAAACCTGATTAATTGAGTTTTTGGTAACACTTTCTATGAAGCCCGCATTTATAATACATTATAAGGGTATTCTTAAGGCATTATAATGAATGCATAATGCATTATAAAAAACCTTATAATATGTTGTATCATCTCATGAATATTCATAAGAACAGTTTTAATATATTATAATATTTTCTTATTTGTGGTTATAGCTTTTAAGAGTATGATGATTTATAACACAATGAACACGTTGCATCCACTTTTACAATGGATTATATTTCTCATAGTTATAATGTATTATAAGTCTCATATCTTGCCATTTTTCTTATGCTACTTTACTTTAAGCGGTCAAAGACCACTTATAAGTAAGAATAATAATAATACTATTTTTTTCTACCACAAATACGTAAGTATTATGATGTATTATAACTGTTATGATTGTTGTTATGATCATGAGTTGATATAACATATTATACGTTTTTTTTATAATGCATTATGCATTCATTATAATGCCTTAAGAATACCCTTATAATGTATTATAAATACGGGCTTCATAGAAAGTGTTACCGAGTTTTTATTTTTATTTTCGCCCTAAGCCATAGAAATGTCTATAGTCAATATGCATTTTTCTAGTTAATATGGCAGTTAAATACAAAAATAACCTTCTGGACAAGATCAATCCTTTTTTTATATTTGAAAATATGGCAAACTTTTTCTGACTATCATGGTTTGTATATATGTAAGTTAAGTCAGCACAGAGATAAAGCTATTCTCTGCTTAATGCAGGAATTGTACATAATTTAATGATGGTTCTTTAACGGCAGTGGTTTTAAATCATATATATACACACAAAATATGTCATCAGTTCACTGATATTATTAAAATTAGGGCTATCGCGATAACCGCAATATTGCAATACCGCGGTATTGACGAGCAAACCGCAGAGGAGCGCAAGAACTGCAGCAACCGCGTTTTTTGCGTGTTTTCTTTTTTCATAGGGTTATGCCCTTCTCGTTTTACACTTCGTGTATATCTACTGAATATTAAATAAGTTAGTAATGATAACATAATGTGTACCATGCTGATTTGTACTGAGGCTCCGTAGATTTGCACTTAACAAGCCTAAACAGACAACGAATGAGAGCGAGATCAACTGAGCATGTGCGATTACTTGCGAGTCATATATATTTGTGAAAATAGGTTGTCATGTCCAAGGAAAGCCAAATCTGTCTTAGCATCAACGCATTGGTCAGCTGAGCCTTCCAACGTGGCGCTCAAAGTTAAAATGATTTCAACAGCATTTTTCATTATGTCTCTCTTTGAATGAATCCGCGTTTTTGAACGTGTAGTTGAACGAACGGTTTAAAGGGGTGGTTAATTGCGATTTCACTTTTTTAATGTTAGTTAGTGTGTAATGTTGCTGTATGATCATAAACAATATCTGCAAAGTTACGAAGAGCTGAAAGTTCAATGCAAACAGAGATATCGTCTTTTAAAATTCTGGCAGTTTAATGCCTACAAAAACGACTGGTAAGGGACTACAACGAGTTACTTCCCAGGTCCGTTACGTCAAGAACCCAGAATTGTACATAAACCCCGTATATTAAAAGCTAACTGAAGCAGTAGCATTTACAAATAACAGCGTATCTAAAAGTATGAGACAACAACAAACAAAAATCTTAGGCCTACCATTAAAAGCCGTGCTTGCACAGGTTCTGCGCGATCCTCTTCAATAATATCCTCTGCGTCTCAATCGGGCTCAAATTGATAAGCAATATAGACGACGTCATTGTTTACAATACAAACGGAGCACATGCCGCTGAGTTGAGGGGCGGGACGATTAGACGCACACTAGAGGCGGTTTAGCCAATCACAACACACCGGGCTAGCAATAAAGGTAAATTATGTGAAAAATAATGCGTTTTTTAACAAACGAAGCATTAACACATGTTAGCCCATAAACACAATCAAGCCTATAAATAAACCAGTCAACCACCCCTTTAAAGACACACTCAAAGACAGACCCTTGCCGCCACCTTGTGGCGCAACAATGTAACTGCACTGACTGACAGCCCGTCTAGAACGCGCGCAGGTGGAAATATCAATAGAAAGTCTCTTGTCCAGTCGGATTCGAGGATCAGAACGAGCTGTTATACATATAGGCTAACAATAGCCTAACAATCTTATTATCAGGTTTATGTTCTGTTATGTGGATTGTTATTTTGTCATTCTCTTCTGTTTACTTCACTTCCTGTTTCAACGCTATTTGGTTTCGGTTTCATTGGTTTCTGAATATGACCTCGTTATATCGTAACATACCCACACAGATTTTATATATATATATATCTATGGCAATAATACCGCATATCGCGCTATTGAGCCACTCAAAATTACCGCAAGGGAAATTCCTTTACCGCGACAGCCTTAATTAAAATCGTGATGATTGTAGAGAAACAAGAATCTATGGAGAATATCAAACATATGGATGCATTGCAGCAATGACAGTTTGGCAGGAAAGTATCCTTATTTATCATGTAAGCAATGTACAATAAACCTTTTAGCACAATGTGATTCATTTTCTCTATGCCAAGTATAAGTTCTTATGCATACTGTTTTTGTATCTAGGCTGGAGCTTCTATGATGGATCCAAACCACTTCCTGATGATCATGTTGAGCCGTTTTGAGCTCTATCATATCTTCAGCTCAGCAGACTGCAGAAAGAGATACAGCAGAGAGAATGCTAACAAGGTCTGCCTACCTCCAAACCACTTTTTGTCCCCATTTCTTTTCTTTTTGCTTGATTTCTCTCTGCTTGCACTCATTTCTATTTCCAGTGATGCGTGTTTCTCTCACTGTCTCTCAGGATGTGCTTCAGCAGAATAACACACTAATTGAGGAGATGCTGCATCTGGTCATTATGATCGTGGGTGAGTGATCTTTTCTCAACATGTTGAGCGTTGTTATACCAGGTGTATTAAGCTTATTAGACACCGTAGAAAGTAAATTAAAATAATGTCTTTCATGCTTTGCTTGTTTTTGTTTTTTCCTGTAGGGGAGCGATACACATCAGGTGTTGGTCAGGTGGAGAGCTCTGATGAGACAAGGCGAGAGATCGTTCACCAGCTATGCATTCGACCTATGGCCCACAGTGAGCTGGTCAAAGCCCTGCCTGAGAATGTAAGTCAACTGTCACTGCTTCACCTTTACCAAAAAGATCATAAGTAATTACGTTGGCTTTGATATCTCACTAAAAGAAAACATTACGCAAATACAGGTGAAATAGGCAAGTTTCTAAATGCAACAACATTGTAAAAATGTGAGTGGTATTAACCGGCTTATTCCATTAATTGCATAAAGCAATTCATTTCTGATAACATTTGCTTTAAAAACACTGCCATCAAGGAACCATTATTCAATTCTGTACAATTCCCATCCCTAATCATGGTCTTTATTAAGCAGAGAATAGCTTTACAATAGATCACTGTGCTGACTTGACTTAACTTACAAATACACGATAGTCAGAAAATAAGTGTGATGCATTTATAAATTTAATAAGATTGTATCTTCAGTGTTGTCACATGAAAAGATATAATGAAATATTTACAAAAATGTGAGGGGTGTACTCACTTCTGTGAGATACTGTATATATACACACATACACACTAGGTGTGGACAAACAATTCAAACGTTTCACTCGGAAAAGAACATTACATCATTAAAATGGGTTGTTTTTATTATTTTTACCTGTAGCTCTGAATCACTTTTTATCAACTAAAATTGAGATACAGCGATATAATTTGGGCACCACAAAAAAAAAAAATACATAAAATAAAATATATTTTTGAATATCTCCGATAATAATTGTGAAAAAAAGAAATCCAGGTTTGCTGTGCTTATGTTTCTAAGGCTACACAGTTTAATAATAATAATTATTTCACCTTTGTTCATAAACACTTACAAGTATTAATTTATAAGCATTTTAATGTATGCTATAAGTGACGCCATTTACTGTGAACCAAGAGGCTGCAAACACCAGCAGACAATGAGCTGCTCACACGTGTATTTAATTAAATTGCAGCCTTTACTAATTGATAATGTTTCGATTTTATTTTGATTAATTGTGCAGCCCTAGTGTTATGTGATGACCGTGCCAGTGTTTAAAGTGATTTTATTGTGTGTTTGTTATAGTTCTGCCTCCACCAGTTCTGCCTCGGTTCGGTCCACTGTTTGCCAGCCTGGTGAACATGCTGCAGTGTGACGTGCTGCTGGGGATTCTGGGAGCTGTGCTGCAGTGGGCAATGGAGCCCAGCGGGGGACACTGGTCTGAGTCCATGCTTCAGAGGGTATGTTTGTGTGTGTGTGTGAGGGAGAGAGAGACTGGAGCACTCTCTCATATTACAAACATAATAGATTTTTAGATAATTAGCATTACATCTTGTCCATTACATGCTTTTCAAGTACAGTTCACTTGAAAAGTATTTAAATCACTATTCAAAAAAAGTTATTACTAAATGGGTATTTAATATTTAAATCATTGTCAATTAATTTCCAGTTACTTTATCATGAACATAATCTTGCTATAAATTAGCTTTTACCATGATATTAGACATGTTCTTACCACACACTCAAGTTAGAGCTCAGTATGAACTTGTCCTGCAGGTGCTGCATCTCATAGGCATGGGCCTGGTGGAAGAACAGCAACATCTTATCGGCAGCGCAGATGATGATACCAACTTCAGCTTCACTCTCAAAATCTCCAGTATGTCTTTCTTTTGTCTCTCTCACACACACACACACACACCCACCCACCTCTTGAGCTGATTAAATCTCTTCATTGTAGGACCAGGTGAGGCTCCTGCTAACACTCCCAGTATCTTGGCTTTATTGGAAACCCTGCAGAATGCTCCTCACCTGGAGGTGCACAAGGACATGATCCGCTGGATTCTCAAGGTAAAGCTGATCCAAATCTCATTACAAAGCCACCTGTCACTAGAATGTAGAGGGACCATGGGACCCGACCAGATTTCTTGCAACGTGGGATTAAATTTCCAAATAAAACGCGGTAGCGGTCGGTAACTCTGGTGTAATTTGAACGGGAGCGGGCGGTCTAACAATATCCCGTTCCCGACGTCCTTTCAGAACAGCATATCTGCGCTTTACTCACTCTCAATTTTTGTACAACCTTCATTTTTATTTTCTCTGTGACACTTTTTTCCTACTGTGTTGACAGCAAGATGTTAAACGAATTTTGTGTCTTGACAAGACGAATAAAATAACAAATACAATTTTGTGCAGACTACACTTTTATTTGTTAGCCTATCTCTCTTTCTTTCAGTAGTGGAAATTTAAATGTGAGATTCTGGAAACGAGATCTAAATTTAGCGGGAACGGTCGGGTCGGGAAGAAAATTATTCTAAGCGGACAGCAGGTGAACAAAGTGAATATATCGTGGGAGCGGGTGGGTGTGGATTATAACCTCGCGGGAGCGAGACTAAAAAAACAGTCCCGCGCAGACCTCTACTAGAATGTTTGTGTAAATGTCTCAGCTATCCAATAGAGGGCAGCAACAGCCAAAAAAAAAAAAAAAAAACTTTTGTTTGTAGTTTGTTTTATTGGTTAATTTATTACTTTATTTTTATTTATTTATTTATTTCAAGTTTTTTTGAAAAAAATAATCTTAAACATCTTTATTTTAAATTTTGAATAACTAAACCTGGCTCTCGCCAGAACATAGCCATGACATGGTGTTAAAAAAGGAAAGAAAAAAAAAATGTTTATTAGATCTTTAGTTTATTTTAATTGTTCGGTATTTTAAAATGTTACTTATTTTTATTTAATATTAAATATTAGTTAAATATATTTATATTAATGTATTTATGTATATGATTATCATGTTTTTGTTTATTTCCTTTTGTGTTTTTTGTTTGTTTTTTTAGTTGTTTTTATTTTTATTGAAATTCTTATATTTTTTATGTATTTTGAATATCAACATGAAAAACATGTTAATATTTCATATTACTTGTGTATCTGAAGACCGTGGCCAACATCAAGACCACGCGGGTGTGCACGGCCAGTGCGCCCCCCAGTGACAGCTCAGGGCACAGCCAGGAGGAGGTGAGCATAGGAAGCGTAACATGCTTGCATTATGACTTGTTAAAGTTGCATTGTGTTCTCACTGGATGTATGTGTATGTGTAGATGGTGCGGGATAAAGATAAGGCAGAGCGGAAGAGGAAAGCAGAGATGGCGCGGCTCCGGAGAGAGAAGATCATGGCTCAGATGTCAGAGATGCAAAGACACTTCATCAACGAGAACAAAGAGTTGTTCCAGCAGAGTCTGGAGGAGCTCGACCCCTCCACCTCCTCCACACTGGAGCACAGGTACACACACACACATCACACTGGAAAATGTCATGGATCATACATTAGTTTCCAGATGCTATCCTCTAATTTGTTGTCCTCTCTTTACTTCATAGCCCCAGTTCATGTGATAGTACACTGGTCTGTGTGGGTCCACGGCGGTGGTGTGCAGGCGGCAGTGAGAGGAGACAGATGGTGACATGTATCCTGTGTCAGGAGGAGCAGGAAATCAGGACTGATGGCAAAGCCATGGTGCTCGCTGCTTTTGTCCAGCGCTCTACTGTCATGTCCAAAAACCGCAAGAGACCTCCACACAACCCAGGCATGTCTTTATATGCGTGTCTTTGGGTCATCGTACCATACAAGTGCATGTTTGGTTGAATGAATGCTATTGTGTTTGTGTTGCAGATAAGTATGACCCTCTCTTCATGCACCCTGACCTGTCGTTCGGCACACACACAGGCAGCTGCGGGCACATCATGCACTCTCACTGCTGGCAGAGGTAAGAATCATCATGAAAAATGAGAAACACGATACCGTGAATCCCTGAAGTGTGTGTTTTTGTCATGTATCTATGTCTAATGTCTCCCCCTGTAGGTATTTTGAAGCGGTGCAGGCTAAAGAACAGCGCAGGCAGCAGAGGCTACGTGTGCACACCAGTTACAACGTGGAGAACGGAGAGTTCTTGTGTCCACTCTGCGAGTGTCTGAGTAACACAGTCATTCCTCTGCTGCCTCTTACAAAGACCAGCTGCAGGTACTGCAACAAACACACAGATGACTTCGACCTCCAGCTGCTAGTTCTTAGTCTTATTTTATTTATTTATTTACTTTTTTTTTTTTTTTTTTTTTTTTGTCTTCAAAATGTGTTTACCAGAAGTAAAATATTAAAGTTATAAACATACTATAAACAATACTACAACATGGTAGCATGATTTCAATGTCAACACCATTAAGCTTCTGACAGCTCTTTCAATCTTTATATAAAAAACATTTTCCCTGAAGGTTTGAGATAGAATAGTTTGCAAGAGTGAATAGAATAGAATAGAATTAGATTAGAATAGAATAGTTTGCAACAGTGCAAGAGTTACACAATGAGGCTGTATAAGTGGGCTAGTTGAGTGGATGCGTTTTCCTGTTCAGGCTGAAGTTTATTGTCCTTAAAGAGCAGGTCATATGTTTTTTGTAAAGTGTCCTAATATTGTGTTGGAGTCCCCTACTACAGGTTTAAATGCATTTAAGGTCAGAAAACATTGTAATTTTCCAGAATATACATTTATACATAGTCATTTGTCCATAATTTCGAAACGGTTTGTTCGATTCAGTTCTGAGCGAAATGTCTGTAAACCCCTCCCTTCCATAAGCCTACTCTGCTCTGATTGGTCAGCTGGCCAAGCCTGTTGTGATTGGCACAAAGAGGAGTGCTTGAGCAAGTTAGCAAGCGCTACCATCTGTGTTGCCAAGTCCGCGGTTGTTTTGATGTCCGCGGGTCGAAGCGACCCTAATAACGTCATATTTAGCTTCTGGAATGTGAATTTACCAGGGGAACCCTGACAAAAAAAAGTGTAATTTATACCCTGGAACGTGATTTTTAACAGGGGACCCCCTCGAAACGCGATTGGGCTAGTTTTGAGTAGTAATTGGGCGGATTTTGTTGTGACAACCTGGCAACCCTAGCATGCACCTTTACATAAAGCAATAATATAGTGCTCCAATCCGTTCTTAAAATAATGACATAAAAACATTTTTTTAACACTTATGCAAGCGAATCGTGCCCACAGCTAAATTTTAGCTGCTAAACTGTAAACACTTAACAAAACAATAATAGGGGATACGTTAGCCGAGTGCTGATGTGACTAACTGATGAAACAATACAGTTTATAAACCAAAATATGTCTACTGTAATGTCTGACGAACGACAGACAAAAGATGCTCCATGTCTTAACTTTTAATTAGAATGCAGAACAGCTGTATCACAGGCGCACCAGTCTAACTCGCGCATCTCTCTCTCTACCGGATCTTTTACTCCCTGCATTAACCCTATGACTGCCGGTGCAGCAAAATAAACAGCAATTTCAGAATGATTATAAAGTCTGTGCGCTACACTACATTCTTTATTATTAAACGAAGTAATTCGAACAACGACAGTCTACGACACATTCTTAGGAAATAGTGGGTTCACAGTCAGGAATGGGCAGTATTTCAAATACATGCATTTAAAATACGTATTTGAAATACAAAATACATTTGATTTTTTTCAAAGGTATTTAAATACAAAATAGTATTTTGTATTTAAATACATTTAATCTTAGTATTTTTGTATTTTCAAAATACATAAAATACTTTTTGCCAATCAACCTCTTAATTAGACTGCTGATTTCCTGTATCAGCTAGTTCAGACATGCCACTTTCATGCATGTGAGCTGCAGCTGTGTGAATTGGGTAATGACATTTTCTGGATTCCTGTAAGGAAATAAGGAATAATACTGCCTTCGTGTGCTATCAAAATTTCCTACTTCCAATTTCAGAAGTCCTGATTACAAGCTTGTCGCATTCAAGTGCTTTGCTGCTGGAAAGAATAGGAATCGTGGAGGACGCCAGGTTTCCTGGGAAAATCTTATTAAAGCCAAAATCGTAGATATTTAAGATATTTAATTTAGAATAAAATGTAGCATCCCATTTGTTGACAACTATATAAACATTCACAGATCTTTATAGTTAGCTTGTTGATGATTTTAGATTTTCAGTCAAATACATACTGTTTTGCGGTGTATAAAACATATAAAATACTTGAAATGGTTATTGCACTACTATGTGCATGACTTTAACATTAAAATAAGGTGATCTTGATTTTGTGGGGAAAAAAGCATGCCTGTCCCAGCAGCAAATGTTTTCCCCTCCACCATATTTAAAGTTTATGGCCTGCACAACTCAGAAACTTAGGTATAAAAATTATAGTAGAAAGTAGAAAATATAACAAAGGCATTCATGTCCAATTGCCAACTAGTAAAGTCATATTTACAAAAAATAAATAAATAAACAATTCGGATAGCCTGTGAAGGCAGCATGAGATAAGGTGAGGATGTCATGGTCGGTTGTACTTGTAGATTAAGGTTAAAATGGAACACCATTCAGATTTGCATTTAGTTAGCAATAGCATAAAGGGAAAAAAAGAGCCCTTAGTGGGCAGTAGCTATTGACACATCAGAGCGATAAAGAAACATGGATAAATGAGTAATAAGCAGCTTTCTGTGTGTGTACCCCAAGACAAAGATAACAATAATGCTAAAGATATAAAGTAAAAAAAAATGTTCTAAGGGCATACTCACACTAGGCACAGTTGCCTTGTACTAAAGCCCAAGCGCGATTGTCCTTTCGCTAACAGACAGATATCAGAGGATTATTACAGAGGCAACTAAAGTTAATGGTGGAATTTGCAGCTTTACTCACAAACTACAATACCTGTTCATCAATAAGATGAGAACCAGACCCATTATAAATCTAAATGTACTCAAAATTCAATTAATTGAATCTGTGGCGCTTTTAGTGGGCAGTAGCTATTGACACATCAGAGCGATAAAGAAACATGGATAAATGAGTAATAAGCAGCTTTCTGTGTGTGTACCCCAAGACAAAGATAACAATAATGCTAAAGATATAAAGTAAAAAAAAATGTTCTAAGGGCATACTCACACTAGGCACAGTTGCCGTGTACTAAAGCCCAAGCGTGATTGTCCTTTCTCTAACAGACAGATATCAGAGGATTATTACAGAGGCAACTAAAGTTAATGGTGGAATTTGCAGCTTTACTCACAAACTACAATACCTGTTCATCAATAAGATGAGAACCAGACCCATTATAAATCTAAATGTACTCAAAATTCAATTAATTGAAAAGTGTGATATCCAAGTAGTAATAAAGATTTTTGCTGTCATAATGCACAAAAAAATAGTAAATTAACTGTCCCATGCTCCGGCGTGGTTAGCGATCGCACTACATGTGTACCGCACCAGAGCCCACCTCTTCAAGCGGCCCAGGGCATGGTTAAACAAACCGCACTGGACACGGTACAGAGCAGTCACTCTTGTGAAATGAACTGGACTTTGGGGGTCAATCGCACTCAAGCATGGATCTAGTGTGAGTACATCCTAAATCTAAGTGAATTGCAGATAGCACACCACAACTATAACCATAACAGCACAAAAAAATGATGAATGATAAAAACATTGTCAGCCATTTGGAATCATTTCTGCTTTAAAGAGCTTGAGCATTTAAAGTGACAGACGACACACCTGCATTGTATACTTAGAATACACTAATATAGTTATCTTTATAATTATCGTTCTTGGTGTAAACGGGCCTTAAATGTGTTTCTTCACTGGATGGCCAAATTCACATGTATTTTGTGTATTTTCAAAATACAAAATACTGTATTTGTATTTAAATTCATTTTCCCACACAGTATTTTGTATTTGTATTTAAACACATTTTTCCACACAGTATTTTGTATTTTTATTTTAAATACATTTTGATGTATTTGTGCCCATCTCTGTTCACAGTGAATTATCAGAACTATTTCAGTAAGATCGCGATTTACCTGGAAACCTAAAGCTGCACTAGCTTTACATCACATATTAGCACAAAAAAAACTAGATATTTTGAGCACTCAATTGAGAATGTACACATAAAGTATCAATCGTACTTGCATGTTGTGGTTCAGAGACGCTTGTTAGTCCAAATAAAGAAGATTAGAAGCCAACAAAGATAAAAGCGTCTTCTCGACATGATGTAAACACACTAACTAGCGGAAGTGTTTGTGGGCAGGTCAAACTCTGTTCGTATTTCGTGGGCAGGCGGGATTATGCACATGTGTTACCCAGTGACGTAGATCGGTAACAGGCAGAAGATTAGAACCACATTTCATTACACCAAATACACAAAATAATGTTCTTTTTAGCAGCATCATATGACCCCTTTAACAACTTTGCACACTGTTTACATTGAAGGATAGCTACGTTACAAACTGCAAAAGAGATATTTTTAGCCCCTTGTTAGCAAACACTTTACAAAGATCACAAGGGGGTATTACTGATGTATTTTGTCGTAGAATAACACATGTAAATATCTTGTGCTTTTGTAACAATAGACCTTATTTTAGCCATTCAGACCAAAAACCCATTTGAAAAAAAAAACCCATTGACTTTTGGGACAATTAAACAGGAAGTGCTAAAATGCTAACTGGTTTCTATGTTTTGGTGTACTAAATGATGTCATCCCTGCAGCACTCTATTAGTATAATTCGTGTTACGACCGAACTGTAATTTACAAAGCTCTCACAGTGTAGGTAATAGATAATTAGTGCAATTTTGCCAATGTGACTGCACCTCTATTGTATGATTTTTGTCTTGAGGCATTGGATGTATTTGATTTGAGTGTTTGTGTTTGTTGCAGCTCTGAACAGCCTAATCTGAGCCAGTGGTTGAGCATCATCTCTCAGCAGATGAAAGCCCTGCTCTCTGCTCACAGGAAGGCTGCAGATGCTGAAGGTGTTGATGATATGGATGGTGTTAATGACTGCCCTCCACCTGATGGCTTCAAACTGGATTACACTCCAAAGTAAACCCACATACAAAACTACCAGTTATTTAGAATTACACCACACAAAAGATTTCTTGTTAAAAATCAACACTAATAAAACACTTGTCTTTCTGTCAGGAACCCGTACTCAAGCACCATAAAGGAGATGTTGACCACGTTTGGGACAGCCACATATAAAGTGGGTCTTAAAGTGCACCCAAATGAGCAGGACCCCCGCGTGCCAATCATGTGCTGGGGCAGCTGTGCCTACACCATTCAATGTATAGGTCAGTGCAAGAAAGTGTCGAACTACAACACACATTTCATATAATGATTTATTCAAGTAAAATTTCTTATATAGAAAAATATTTTTCTTGCCTTACAGCTGTTTTTTTCTGTAGTTCATGTAAAATTAGAAATTTCTAAACATTTTACTTAGTAAAATGGGTAATGTGGCATAATGATATAGTAATGACATGGTAATAACATGGTAACATTCAAAAGTTATTGTTCAGATACATGGGTTTAGTTCAAAAATATTAAGTTAGGACTTTTTTATAAGCTAACTTTCCACTGGGTCCAAATGGAACCAGGGATGCAAAAAATGAATGGAGATTTTTAAAGCATTATGAGGGCTAAAAGTAAATTGAAAAGTACAGTATATTAAGATAGTGTCATCTCATTTCTCACAGAGAGGTTGCTGGTGGATGAAGAGAAGCCTTTGTTTGGAAGTTTACCATGCAGACAGGTAATCAAACACATCTGAATGAATTTGCAAGCTTGTAATTTGAATGAAATCAATTATTAGTTTGTCCTATTCAAGTGGCCTCTTAATTCTTTAAATCTTCACTCTTGAGTTTGATTGGTTTGGTAACCCAAATGTTTTGTGCATGCAGGACGACTGTTTGAGTTCTCTGACCCGGTTTGGCTCGGCCTGCTGGACCGTCTCCTCTCATACCACTGTACAGAATCACTTTATTAGGCTCTTAGCAGGTAAGAATTAGCTCTACAGTCTCTTAACACAAATAGTTGTTCAGGCATGGATCAAAGATTATGAGAAATCACGACAGCCCTCACCTCATTCATATGAACTTCTGTGTTGATTCAGCCCTTGTTCCTGATCCTCGGGTGGAGAATACGCCATGTATTCTGGACATAGACATGTTTCACTTGCTGGTATGTAAACAAACAGTGTTGCTTCTATATCTGCTTATACATATCATCAATAGTATTTCTAAGAATTGAATAACTCATAGTGTCAAGTTGACACGTTTTTTTCCCCACATATCTTGTTCAATAAGAGTTCACAGCAAGAACTATGTGTAAAAGTGCCTGCTCAGATTTGGCCTGTTGTTTCAGAATGACCTCTGACCTCAGTTAATGTGTGTGACAGGTGAGCTTGGTGCTGTCCCATCCAGCGATTCTTTGTCTAGATTCCTCAGGGCTGAGTGCGGATGCTGCACAACTGCACTTTCTGCATCTCATCACAGTTGCTCACGTAGTCCAGATCCTCCTAACCTCCATACCAGGTGAGAAGCTCATCCTTCTCCTTCACGAGCAGCCACATGACCATAGAGACTTCATAAATTATTTTGTTGACTCCTGTGTGCCATCAGAGGAGATGCGGATGGAGCAGGAGAGTGGAGGAGCGGAGAGGGAAGAGGAGGAGAATGTGTGTATGCTCTACAACACACTCAGGACGCATCTGAGAAGGTGAAAGCACACACACATCTGCCAGCCACACTGTGACTGACTTTATGGTTTATATATTTTGTTATATAATTTTGTGACAAAATCAAAGGAAACAAATATAAAATGAATCCCATTTTGCAAACATCAAGATGTTTTGCATTGTTAGCTATGTTCTCACTATTATGCATAATTGGCTCTTTTTTTTTTTTTTTGTGAGAACTGAGATACTTTTGTCCAATGAAATGCCATTTTGTCTATTAATATGTTGAAGGGATGCACTTACTGACTTTATCACAAATAATTTTGTGTAAAACGGTAGTAAACAATGCTAAACCAGCCTCATCATACATCTCAAATTTCTCAGTTGGTTTCAAAGTTCTGGGGTCATGCTTTCATTTCAGTTCAGCAAAGAGATCAAAAGTGACAGTCAAGACCAAATAAATGCTGTTATTTTTAACGTTCTATTCATCCTAGAATCTTTGACAAAAAGTATCATTGTTTCCACAAAAATATTATATGCACCACATTGATAAAAATAATAAATGTTTCTTCAGCATGATTTCTGGAGGATCATGTGACACTGAAGTAGGCCTGTCACGAAAACAACTTTTTGTTGTGCGATATATTGCCCCAGAAATAATTGCGATAAGCGATATTATTGTCATTTTAAAGACCATTTTATGCCACTGAATATATAATCATAATGTGACCGCATAATAATGCAAGAAGGCCTACACACTTCCAAATGACAACAAACTTTTAATTTAAGAATATTTAGATCATGGAAATTAAGTATCAAAATATTAGATGCCTTAAAAAACTTGAATAAATGCTAAATAAACATTTTCTAACAAAAAGTGCAAAGTAACAAGTACAAAAAAAGAAAAATGCACAAAGAACTGCACTGACCTTCTTTTCTCTGTAAATTAAAGGTGCGCATTATTGCTGAAAAACACAATCACTACTTGGCAGTCAGATGTCCGTATGCACAAAGGCAAACAAGACTATATCTGCAGATAGGGTTGCAAAGGGGTGGAAATTTCCGGTAAATTTCCTGAAACTTTCCAAAAATCCCTGGAATATAAAAAAAAAATCCTGGAAAGTTTCCAAAATTTCTGGAATATTTCTGAAATTTACTAGAAATTTTCCACCTTTTTGCAGAAATTTTCCACCTTTTGCAAACCCTATCTGCAATTGAAACTTTTTTGTAGAAGTATTTTTACATTTGATCTAGCACCTTATGACTAAACCACATTATGTACGAGAAGCTGCAAGACACGGGCGCAAGTGGAATTTTTTTTACATTTTAAAATATATTAAAATAGAAAAGTCATTTCAAAATGACTATTTTTACACTTTTTTTTTTTTTTTTTAAATAAACATTTTCAAATAAATCTACCAAAATAAACTACCAAATTGATAACAGATAATAAGTATTGGGTTACACTTTATTTCGACAGTCCACTTTAGACATTCTATTAACTATAAGTAACTTTGTAACTACATGTCAACTAATTCTCATTAATTTGCAACTACATGTCTACTAACTCTCAGACTAGACTGTTAGGGTAGGTTTAGGGTTAGTAGAATAAGTTGACAAAGAAAGTGTTAGAAGATATTAAGCAGACAGTCTACTAATACTCTACTAACTGCTAGTTGACATGTAGTTGCAAAGTTACTTACTGTTAATAGAATGTCTAAAGTGGACTATCGAAATAAAGTGTTACCAAGTATTGTAATTGATTTCAAAAATGAAGAAGGAAGTTTGGTTTTTAGGGGGGACGGTTTCACCCCTACTAGTTTCTAATCTGAAAGCTGTATGCGTTTCAGTGGCCTGCATGAGGTGAGCTCAGGCTGGCATCTGTGGCACTGTGTGAAAGCTGGAATCCTGCCTTATCTGAGGGCAGCCGCTCTCTTCTTCCACTATCTCAACGGAGCTCCAGCACCACCCGAGTTTCATAGTAAATGACTCAAACTTTACACACGTTTTACTGGCTCACTCTCCCTTTTGCTGTATCAGTTCTAATGATGACTGTGTGTTCAGCTCTAGGTGCGGGTGAATGGGAGGCTCTGTGTGGATACCTGTGTCTGCCCTCCAACCTGCTCCAGCTCTACTACAACAATCAGGAGCTCATGGAACCTCTGCTGCACGGGTAACCGTCACTATCTAGTAAAGCATCTGAAAACTGTTAACATAATGATCAGATGTTAGCTGTGGCTTTAATGAATTGTGGTGTGATCCGGTGCTCTGCAGGTGGTGCTCTCATCCAGGTGTGCTGCCGGGTCTTCAGAGCAGCGTGGCTCTCATCAGGTTTGTCCTGCTCCTCAACACTCAAGTGTTCACTGCAGCCGATGCTCAAGTGCTCACCATTCTTCCATTTGCTGTTTTAGGTTTCCTAGAGAGTCCAATCATCTCATAGAGCTGCCAGGCGACTACAGCGCCCTGATTAACCAGGCCTCCAGCTTCACGTGAGTCACCTCTGTCTTACGAATCAAATGCGATTACTAACTAAGACATGCTCTCTACGGAGTCATACATTCCTGGTTCCATGAATCAAATGATCTGTTGATCTTGGTGGCGTCTAGGTGTCCTAAATCTGGTGGGGATAAGTCTCGCGCTCCTACTCTTTGTTTGGTGTGTGGTGCTATGCTGTGCTCCCAGAGCTACTGCTGCCAGACCGAGCTGGAAGGAGAGGATGTGGGCGCATGCACCGCACATACTTTTGCCTGCGGAGCCGGAGTCGGCATTTTCCTCAGGTTTGTGCAAGCATATGTAGATTCAAATCTATGAATATAATTGGCAAGTTAAGTAAGGGATAAGGTACAATTATTATCATTGGGTGACCACAGGGGTCGGGAACCTTTTTTGACCAAACAGCCATTTTTTTATTTTTGGTTAATGTTTTTTTCCAAAAGAGCCATAGCAAAAAATAATACAATATTTTATATATATATATTTCACGGACGAGAATGTATAAAACACATTTTTAGTCTGTTTTCCAAGGCTGCATGATATATTAAACCCATTTAAAAATGATAATTAAGCATAATTGTGAATTCACAAACGCTACGATTTAATTAAATAATTATATGCGATGCAGTTCTAATACAGTATATGCGCTTTAATTATTTTCATGCGTGTAGGTTAAGTACATGCGTCACACAGCAGCTCCGTTCACAGTAGTTCCACAGGAACTGTTATCATTTACATGTGTGGAGCGTCTCAAACTCCATCTCTGCATGTGGTTGTGAGTTTGGGTTTATTATAACGTTCATCTGGGAACGCAACATGCGCCATTTCATCAGATTTGTAAGGTAAATCATTTATAAATCTACGCAAACACAGAA